CCAGTCTTTCTGATATGATCCAGAAAGAAAAACAACACTCTTTTTTTTTTCCTTTTCCTCCTTTTTTTGAAGATATTTGAAAAGTACAGTTTTCTCCCATAAGATTAAGAATAGTTAAGCTGATAAGTATAAGACTCAACTCCAGAAATAAGTAACACCGTCACAGTTTGATTGTGTTTTTTCTTTTTTTCAATTAAGTGAACTATATACCTAATTTTCTCCTGTTCTCACCAAACACAGGTAGTAAGTTTACACATAATTTTTGCTAAATTAAATATCATACTTTGGAGTACAGTAACACTTTAGTTTTAATACAGCTCACGTGTAAAAATATAAAAATATGTAATATACCTTATTTTTTTTATTCCAGAAAATAATACTGGTAAATAATCTTGTTAAACATTTCTTATCTAAGTAATCATTCTGGACACTATAGATGAATTAACCTGAAATAGTTAAGATAAATGAAAATACCTGTAACTTCACAAATATGTCCAATTTAACCATCAGACAATATCAGATTTTAATCAATGCTTTATTATCTCATATTTGTGTTCCTAATAAGCACAATTCTTGCTTTCTGCTTATATTAGTCCAATACTAAACCTGTACCTACCTACTCAGATTAATTTTCATGTTACTTTTGGTTGTTATATTTAAAAAAATGCCGAAAACAAATTTTGATGTCTAAGTTAAAATTGAGGCTGACTCCATGCCATAGGACTTTGCAGAAGGTTTTATTGGGTAGGAGAGCTCTGTTGCTCAACATGTTGATCAAATCCTGCTTATCAAAAGAGAAAAACACAAGTGCTACCAGGCATTTAAAGTTGTCCACCCACTCTCCTTTACTGGTTCTTCTGAAAGATATTTGTTCCTCTAGGTACCACCATCACTGTTGCTATAAAATCAGATTGGGTTTGAGAGCGTTTACAAGTACATCCGAGCCTGCTTGCAACCCTGGACCCTTGAACAGTCTGAGCTTCAAACTAGAGTCCCAAAGTATGTACTCAGAAAGCGATGTGGGGTGTCGGGATCAAGGGCCCTCTAGGAATTAAAAGCAAACAATTGAATGCCTTTTAGCAATCATTAACTCTGCAAATGTTAGTGATCCAAGAGAAGCCCCTGTGCATTCTGGAAGAACACTCCAGGCAAGCTGAAGTCCGGGGAAGGCTGGTTTTCCTTTGCACATGTCTTTCCAGGGGTTGCTTCCTGGGTCTTTGTAAGGTCTTTGATTGGAAGATAAATATTATAATTCTTCTGAGAAGGAATTTCCACAATCTGCCTGCTGTTTCTGGCTTTTTTTTTTTTAACCTGTAAAGTGGGTATATAGGGTTTTTGTTGTTGTTGTTGTTGTTTTGGTTTGGTTTTTTGTTTGTTTGTTTGTTTGTTTGTTTTGAGTGGACATTTTGAGGGCTACATTGATTAGCATGTCCTATAGAATATGCTGATCTTCCTGCTTTATTCAAGACCTTGGCTGCCCATGATTTTCCCCTCTACCTTTCTTCTTTAAAGAATTTGGCCACCACTTTACTTGTGTATACATTATTGCAAACTCATAAGAGTAGGTGGACAAAGAAATCATGCTGTTAGTTTTCACTTCTGAGATTCCTTCTCTGCTCACAGTATAACATTGACATTGAAATTCTCGGTCTTGCTACTGTCTGTAGTGTTTGAATTTGAATATTTTGGGTTTTGTGATGTTTTTACCTTTTTTTTTTTTTTAAGAAATAGGCTGTTATATAAAATAGAATGTGAGGACCACAAAAAAGGCCTATACTATGAGACAGGAGTAAAGAAGAAAACACAAACTTGTCATCAAATATACTTAATACAAAATTGAATTCTCTTTACCCATCTCCCTGGATCCCTATCTTCAACCCCTTCTACCCCTTCACATTATCAATGTAAAAGGTAGGTTTTCCTACCTCCAGAATGGTCTGATTTTAGGAAACAAATGTGAGCAGAACTACTGAAAAGTAGGATCCTTTCGGCCTGACTCTACCCTGTGTAGATACACAGCACTGTGGGCAGCCACCAGTACCTCTGTCCACTGTTTGAGAAAATGTGGGTTGATTTGGAAGTGATTTGTGACTGTCAGAATAAGGGCCTTATCCCTGAACATGGCATATTTTACAGAAATCAAAAGGATATTGAACAAGGTGAGAGTGCTTTTTTTCAATATATAAAAAAATGTTTCTCCTTCCTTAAGGCTTAGCCTACAAATTGTAAACCCCCATGTGTTCATGTTATGTGCCTTTTTTGGCAGCCCTTGCAATGTATGGCTGTATCTACTGTATGTATAGTTTCCATAGATGCTTTTGTTTATTGAAAGCAAATATTTGGAAATCTTCGCTGCAGTGTTGTGGAAGGAGTGAGAGGCAGACTACAGAGAGGGAAAGAGAGAGAGAGAGAGAGAGAGAGAGAACAACAGTAGTGAAGGTAAAGAGAGAATTAAATATAGAAACTGCCTGGGGAGCCAGAAAAACCCAAGGTTGGTGAGCAACTAACAATTTAAAATCTCTTGAGGACAGAAAAAAGCCGGACAGAGGAGGACTTTTAATCTGAAGAGTTAATTAACCAAATGATAAGACTTCTAAAATATCCTTCTCATTAGAGTTGTAATTTTGAAGCCTGAGGAACTAGTAGAAGGTATTCTAACTTGCTCTACAAATCAGTTTAAAATCGACTTATAGAGCAGTGGAAACACAAGGGGAAGTGTTTACCAGTCCTGCGATGTCTCTCCCCTCACATAGCCATCTGATGAAGGTAGAGCACAAAAAAGCTTTTTAAAAAAGGCCCTGAGCTTCATGGCTATGCTGATTTGATCATATTTGAAAGGTAGAACTAGATGACAAAAAAAAAAAAAGAAAGAAAGAAAGAAGAAAAAAACTGCCACAACTCAGGGTGAGCAACCTAAAATATCAAATCAATAACACAGAATGTTCTAGCCCAAAAGTCATCTCTAAAAGGTGTGATAAAAAGTATGATGAGTGCCTGACAAATGACAAAGGGAAACCAAAGTATCAGTTGCCATCAGGATGCCGGCACGACCTGATAATAATTAGTAAACATTGACTCCATGTAGCTAAGTGGCCAATATTATTTCACAGTTGACTGTGTGGAGGGTAGAGCCAGTGACCTTTGTCCTGAATTTTAATACTTTACTGAAGTTTTACATTAAGTAAAAATCTAATTGGGAAGAAAATTAGTGTTTCTTTGTGGGAGTACAGAGTAATGCTACTAATTGCATGTAGAAAGTGTTCCCAAGGTTGTCTTTTTTTTTTTTTTCTCCTTTGAATTAGAAAATTAAATCTAGAGTACTTTTCTGCTGTCTGGAGAGGACAGTTGTAGCAGGGTAGTGCATTCACCTAATTTAGAACGTCAAAGCTGTTGACCGTCGTGTTCTGTTCACTGATGACAAACTGTCTGTTTCATAATATTATTTACTAGTAGCTGGTTGTGGACATCAGAGCAAACAGACCCCTTATACAGGGTCTGAAGGGGGCAGCAGGCTGGAGGGCTTTTGTTTGTTTTGTATTTTTCTTTCACTTTACTGTTTGAGCAACTGACTATATAAACTCAGAGAAGTCACCACTGTTTTTCTTCTAAGGAGATAGACAATAAAGAACACATTAAATTAACCTCAGTGGAATAGGAATATAAACGAATGGTGCTTTATAAATTCTATTTAGATACATGGGGACTTTTTTTTCCTTCTACTTTATTGTCAAGCAAAGAAAATGAGCTGGTTTTTGAAAGTCTGTGGTGCTATGAAAATATATCTGCTTTTCAGAGATACCTTGTGTATTTCGCCTTATGTCTGGAAGGGTTAAAGGCTGAACACAGAAGTGTTATGGAAAGTGCTTTTCCTCTGTGTCCAGTGCTAGGAGTTTGATACATGTTCAGTATGTCATGTCATGGTAAAGTCAGTCACACCTGCATTAGCCCTCATTGTCTCAAGGTACTGACAAAAAATACTAGTAAGCAAAGCCTGAGAAACGAGTATCTCTGCTGATACCATTTCAGTGTTTTCCCTTTATTCCCTGGACATTCTTGAATTCAGAAACAAACTGCACAACCTAGGGCACTAGGGTTGGAATCCAATGTTTATTCAAAAAAGGCACCCTGAGGGAGCAAGGACTAAAATGCTACATGTAAGAAAAAAAAGAGGGGGGAGGGGGCGGCCGGGCTCTTTCAGGCATGACAGCAGCGGCTGTATTTACTAACATTTGTTTTCTGGGAGCCTATGAGAGCAGCAGGAAGAATTGTGAGGCTAGATGGGGCTTGTGGCTTGCTGTCCTTATACGGAGCAAGGCAGAGCGAACTGCAGTGACAGTTTTGGAGCCTGCATTCCCTACTGCCAAGGAGACAGCTGATTTGGGTGGAGGAGTTTGTTTAGACTTAAACATATGAAGTCGTTGTGTTGACCAAACAAGAAAAAAAAAGGGGGGGGGAGATTCACTGCTTTTAAGCACTCCCCCAGTTGCGGGGGGTGGTAATCTCATAAAAATGTATCATGCGAGAAGCTTTTGCTCTAGTTCCAAGCTGAGTCTGGGCACACTCGGAAACCAGTTCTTAAAGAACACACCTTTTAGGCAAGAATGTACTTACTCTGTCATGTAATAGGGAACCTTTGCTGCTTGCTTGTTTTGGATGAAAAATAAATTAAAAAAAAAAAAAGATTACAGGAGATTTGAGTATGACCAGGGCTCCTGTTTAGAGTTGGTGGCATACAAAACTGGCTTTAGTCACAGTGTGATGCTTGAAGCCTCCTAAAGGCCAACTGTTTCCTTTTCTTCTTCTTTTTTTCTCTCTCCGAGCGTTACTTCACTGAGGCAGAGGGCTGCCTCAGAGTGACGTCAGGAGTTTGAGCAGCAAGCTGCACAGGCTGGGTGAGTGACAGCCCAGCCTACTTTTTAATAGCTTTGTCATGTGACTGGGGACTGTAGTAAGACAGGTGCCTTCAGTTCCCTCTCAGTAAGGGGCTGGTTGCCTGCATGAGTGTGTGCTGTGTGTCAGAGTGGATTGGAGTTGAAAAAGCTTGACTGGCATCATTCAGGAGCTGGATGGCTTGGGACATGTGCAGCCAAGACTCTGTATGGAGTGACATAGAGGTGAGCTGGGGCTGGCATTGCAGGACCCGAGGCGTCCCTCAGATGCAGTGATTCCTGGAGGGGGATGGGTTAGGGTAAAGGTAGGGACATAGAAAGTAATCCGCGAGCCTGTGGAGGGGGAGTCTCAATCTTATCTTAACTCCAATAAGTTTGCTATTTTAAGGTGGCTCGGAGATGCCTTGAGCAAATCAAAGCTTAGCTGCTGTCATCAGTATCTGTAGCAGTTAGAAACTCTTTCCATGTGCCTTTGGCTCTCTTTCTACTCATATGCAATATTTATGCTCTAAGATATTGATATGAATCAGGAGCTGAAGTCTTTCCAGTGTTCAGTGGCCTGCTTGGAAAATTGCCATTTCTATTTATAAGAAAATGAAGATAAACAGTAAAATGAATGTGTTCGGAGAGAGTCCGTTTTGACTATTGTCGGGGGTTTTTATTTTTCTGCCCTCCTCTCTCTGTTCATTAAAGAGAGAACTTACAAGATCCTAAATAATCCTGCCGGGGCTGAGTTAGATTGCTTTTCCCACAGAACACAAAAACGACAGTGCCGTTTCCTTTAAAACACTTGTGTGTGGCTGAAAGCGTTGGCTGGCGAGTTCAAAGAAAAATTCCCAGCCTTAAGAGAGCCAGGCTTTCTGTTTGCTTCAGCGGGCGAGAAACGGAACGGTTAAATCTCTCTGTACCACGGAGAGCTGCCTGAAGCCGGCAGAGAATGGAGTTTATGCAGACCGGGTGTGGAGCTGCTCACTGCTTGTGTAAAAATAGACCGCAATACATCAATTCCACAGTCTCTGTTGGCTACAATTCATACAGGAGAGGAAAAAACACAAGCAGTTTCCTCGTAATCTCTGGAGTCTAGCTGGGGACAGAGGACCTCGGTGTGTTTGCATTCGGTACAATGGAATGTTCTCGGAAAGTTTGGGCAAGTTGGAAAACAAGTGAAACTTTTGTGGACTCTGGTGAGATGGACCCGAATTGAATTGCGCGGAGGATCGGGGCTGCTAACTAACAATGGTGCTTCCTCCCGGTAGCGGGGGCACGCAGGGTAAGGGGGAGGGTCAAGTGACACACGTGATTTGATTAAATAAGATGTCCGAGTGGTGCAGCGATACACATCTAAAGTGAAAATGATTTGGCGAGGCTGCGAATGCATTTTTCCTATCTAGCCAGGCGTGCCCTGGGTTCTTAACTCTTTGCTGGGTTTGCAGATATTGGCTCGGTTTGCCTTCCCCAGGCTTTGGCAGATCGGATTTGCGAGTTATAATTATTCTTATCTTGTTGTGATTTCTTGGCAAGGTGGAATAGATATGGATAATTCATGTGTCCTGTGGCTATTGGAAGTCAGAGTTCTAAGTGGCTTCAAAGTCCTAATTGTTGGAGTAGCCAGGGGAACCCGTGGGTGGTTGTCTGGCTGGCACCATAGGTCTCCTCGATCCACTTTCATTTTTACGTCTTGTATGGTTCCTGATGCTGCTTAGAGATTGAAGAGCTGATCTAAAGGAGATTTGCCTTGGTAGTCAAAATTCCTGCAGTTGTTTGCAAATAAGCTTCCCAGCCATTTGCAGCCATGGCTCTAAGTTTGTTTGCTGTTTGCTTTTCTTAAGGAGGAGGGGATTGGGGCTTACTGTCCAGCCTTAGACTGAGTCTTGGGTCAGCTGTGACTGGCCAGTCACTGCTGCATAGCAGACAGACAGCTGCTGGAAACCCGTGCCTTCGAGGCCGGGGCTCTGGGAATCACCTCTGCCTGCCGAAATAGTACAAGCAGCAGGTAGCGTGGGCAGCTTTCATTTTTTGAATCATTAATGTTTGCTGTCATCTTAAAACCTATTATGCCCTTTAGCACATAATGACAGGACACTGCATTGGTTAATAAAAGCCCAAATCACTGGAGCTGCCCATAGTGCCCGTGTTTCACAGCTTAATGGAGGTGATATACAATAAGGTTACCAAGATTGATAGAGACAGTTCACATGACACTTCAGCAAGACTGGCATTCTCTACTGCCTCTCTCTCCATCCCTCCTCCATCTCAACTAATGTTTTTTTATCAGAAGTTAAGATTCTTTTTATTATTAATATAATTAATGCTTCTGAGTCCACTCGCTCTGTTCTCTCTCTCTTTAAAATTTACCATCAATGGCACCAAAACCTCTGAAAGGTTAATGGAGAATTATACTTAATTATAATGAATCACTATCATCCATGCAGTTAAGCTAATTTATTGTCTGCTCCTTAACTAAGGGAAAAGCCTGTTGGGGTGAAATAACCTACAATAATTAGCCTTTTGTGTTTAGTGACTGCTTTAGCCTCTTAAATCTTATTGGAAAACTAAGGCTACAGTGGCGAAACTGCTGTCACAGTTGCGAAGTGGCAGTAGAATATCTATGTAATTGTGGCAAGGCACACCTGTTACAGATGTATAGGGGAGCCATCAATCCCAGCATGTCAGGCAAGGACAGTTACTGGGCTCAGTCTGCGAAGTCTGGCACCGTCGGAGTCCAAATGTGAATTAATAACTGCTTCTATGAATGTGTTTTACATCACTGGGATAATTCCATACTCAAAAGCGTTGATTTGATCAGGGTGTCAACACTGGTAACGCACAGACACTATTTCAAGCCGTACTGTAAAGAGTAAGCATCAACAGAACAAGGGAGAGAAAAAGAAAAAGAAAGAAAAAGTGGAAGGAAGGAAGATAAATGAAGATGGAGGCAGGGAAAGCAAAAGAGAGAGTACTAAAACAAATTTTATTTTATCTATTCAATAGTTGTCAAAAGTTATATGCAGATACCTTTTTTTTTAAATCTTGAAAGACAAAGAGTCTTTAAACTAGCCATACTTAGAGAGAGGGGTTAAAGAGAGGTGAAGAAAAGCTGTGTCCAAGCAAGTCAGTGTGGCGACTCACCATTTCCAAGTATGACTTCTGAGCTCCGGAGCAGGAGTAGCAGCCATAGGTAGACAGGCTGTCTTCTGCCTTAGTTTTCATTTAAGTGCTTTCTTTGGTTGTGGTGTATCATGTTTTTAAAGAATGCTCCACCCATGACACCATGTGTTGTTTGGCACTATTGACAAAGTTTTCCTCCTGTTTCTATACTGACAACGTTTGGGAAGAGTTCATTAGGAGTTGTGCTCTGGGATATGTAGTGTGGATAAGAATGAAGCCTCGGCAATGTTACACCCAAAACAAAATCTAACTGTATCAGGACAAGAGGTAGTCTTTTTAGCCAGACTTCCCATTACAAACCCAACCTTCTGACTTATAACTTTGGGCTGACTCAGACAATACAAAGGAAAGCCCAACAAGGTGTGAAAGAGGCCTTTAGGGAGAGAAGGCAGCTCTTTCTTGGCATGGGCCTGGACCTGCCTTTGAGTATCCTCTGGGGCCTGGTGGTTTTCTAGACAAACTGCAGGTATGTGCAGACTGTTTCCCTTCTTCTCCTGCTTCTACTCCTCAGCGTGTGGCTTCAGGTCACACTGCTGCATATGACCCGTTTAATATAGCCTGCCAGGATGACAGGGGTGCCCCAGAAATAAAATCTGCATAAAACCTACTTTATTCAAAATCTAAATGTCAAGGAAGTTCATCAGCTTTATGCCCCACTGCTGCCTTCATGGAAAGCACTAAATAGCTTCTCTGCCAACCTTGGAAGGTAGAGGTACAAGGACTTTCAGTCAGAGGGGGAGTGCCTTGGTTCAGGAAGCTGGCTGGTGACAGGACAAAGTCATGGTGACTACTGTCATCAAACCCCCGTAGTAGTAGTAAAGAACTGTGGGGTTCTTTAGAACACACAGACTTGGCTTGACAGTTAAGTAGCCAGTTAAATTGCAGGAGATCATCTCATTGATAAGGGGTTCTGATATATTCAGAAGGCAACAGGTCAGGGGGTTGCCTAAACTCTATCTAAACTATCTAAACTCTAGAAAGAGATATGTGCATATGCATATATAGTTATATAAACACATACATATATGTACATATATACACGTTTATGTCTATATATGTTTATACATATAAACCTCTTTCTAGGGTTTATGTTTAATATATATATGTATATTAGATGTATTAAATATAAGGCATGTATATATGCCTTCCAGAGTAGTATTTAAACCTTTCAATATATTGAAACCATTTTTTACCCCTAGATAATATAATCATTTTTAAATTCACCATATATAATTTATCTATCTATCTATAATCATTTTTAAATTCACCATAACTGTGGTTTGACGTACCTCAATAAAACACAGCATATAGTCATGTTATATTATTTTGTTGTTTTTTTTTCCTTTTAGGTGACAGGTGATTCCAACAACAACAACAGCAACAAACACACAGACACACACATTTCTTCTAAAGTATTCTTAGTGAAAGCTGTAAAGGTCACATAGAAAAAGAATATGAACTTTGTTCTTTAACTGAAGGAACTTGCATTTGACCTGCTAAGGATGAAGTCAGGGAACTCATAAAAAGTCAAGCAAGAACAAATGATTTAAATAACAATTCAAGAGAGCCATGGATGAGTCAGAGGACTTGCATCATTAGTTGCTAAATGAATGATATGGATTATAATACTTAAAGGGAGTGGGCATAAAGGAAGTTTTCCTAATCTAATTTTTGAGTTCTGTTATCTCAGTGAGCAGTTGTATGTAGGGATACCCATTGTATCCGATGGTGATTCCAAGATATAAATCCACTTACAAACTTCTCTCAAACAGGTCCTACGATAAGGATAAACTCAAGTGCATAGTTAACTATAAGAGGGTTAAAACTCACCAAGTGTAACTATCTTGGAGGTAGGAATGAATCCTGTTTGTTTCTAACTGGAAGAATCAGAGGCCTTCATGGAAACATGGTGCTTAGCTTGGATCTAGGTTTAGAATTTCGATGAACGAAATTAAACAGAATATCCCTTGGGAGCCAAGGAAGAAAAGAATGGAAGGTGTTTCCCCTGCTGATTAAAGCCCTGGAGGCCAGCTTTGGTGCTGCCACTGAGTTAACCAGACTTAATTCCTACACATGCTACTGCTGTTCAGTGAATTTCTGCCATTAATAGTCGTGTTTTTCTTGCTGCTTCCTGCAGTGTGCTGCTCTGGTTGGTGAGGACCAGCCTCTTTGCCCAGATCTCCCTGAACTTGACCTCTCTGAACTTGATGTGAATGACTTGGACACAGACAGCTTTCTGGGTGGATTGAAGTGGTGCAGTGACCAATCAGAAATCATATCTAACCAGTACAACAATGAGCCTGCGAACATATTTGAGGTAAGCATCTCCTCTGGAGACACTCACTTTTCCCTGACCTTGGCTTCTGCCACACCAATGTAGTTCTGGGCTCTTATAATGTTGCCCAAGTATACGTGGGCTCTTACATTGTTGCCAAAAGAAAAATTGTCATTACAGCTAGAGAGCTTCTGTTATGGAAAAATCATATTTGGAAAACAGTGCTTTTTAGAATTGAAGAGCTAAGGACCACAGAGTATGCTAAATTGTGTTGGAATACAAGGGGTTGTGAAAGCTTTGGGGTCAGGAAGAAAAAAAGTGTAAATCTGCTTATGCCTTTCTGTTCCCACAGAAAGCGACCTAGCAGCAAATGGTGCTACAGAATACAGAAGAAGGCATTTCTGTTCACTAAGGGGTTAATGTCTACTGCCGCTTGTTTTGCCTTGTCAGTGAACAGTTTTGATTATTGCTATTATATTATTGCTTCATACCCCTAATTTTCTTGCATGATGGAAAATTTCTAAACTCAAAAAAAATCTAGTATGTACTTATAAATTAGTCAAAATTCATTTACCTTTCAGTAGTGAGAATTACCTCCCAGACTCTAGACGCCTATTATGAGTCTACCCTATAATAAAGAATGTTAATCTACTTCTATTAAAGTGTTACTCAGAGAAACGAGGTTCGCTCTCACAAGATCGGGACTCATTTACTTGAAAATAAATCATTTCTTATAGTGATAAGCATTCAGAGAGTACTGTGACAAGTGAATTGGGTGCAAATTGCCAAATCAGCTCATTTTTGGCATCAAAATCAGCATTAGCACCACCATCGTCTAGCGGTTTCTGAGCCCCTCTACGCCAGGCTGCACACAGACTCCTGTTAGCCACTCGTCAGCACATTGCTGGACTATCTTCCCACTTCCTTCATTAAAAACCTCCTTTTCTTCAGGAGAGCACATTTTTTTGTGAGTATTCAGTTTTCCTACACCCAGTCCATAAATGGTACTGAATAAATACATGACTGTTTAATGAGTGCATGATAAAAATGATAATGTTGATACGAAATAACTAGTAACAACGATGGCTACCACTTTGGAACACTCCTGCTTTGTATATGTCATCGCATACACCTTTTATTTTCATATATTATGTTATCATATATGGAATATTGGAAAATATGCAGAATAGATGTGTATGTGTGTGTATGTGTGTATGTACGTACGCATGTATGTTCTCATTTTACTCATGGTGGCACTGAGTTTCAAAGAGAGTTATGTGATTTCACCAAAATCACAAGTTGACAAATAAAGACCTAACATTGAATTTCTAAATTTATTTGACTTCAAAGTCTATATCATTGATAAAAATAGGGAGACAGTGATTCTTGGGTGACAGCCATCCTTTACAAAGATGTATCAAGCTGCTTCTTTGCTCAATATATTTAAAAATAGAACAGAACGTCTCCTTTCTGTGTTGGCCTGTGTGGCGGTGCTGGGTAGCTGGTGAGCTGAGTGCCTGTCAGTTTTGCAGCTAGCTGACGTTCTGTAACATGCCTGGAACACTACGTGGGTCTTCGGAGAGTGAGAGCGCTTCAGGTGAGGGAATTAGGGCTCGGGAGTGAGGAAGGCGGAGGAATCGCCAAAGGTTTATGGTTGCTTTCTCCTTTCCCAGGCATCCGTGCTGGGTCTTAGAAAGTTCATGTGAGGACGCGGCTGGTTAGAACTGGTAAATTGAACATTCCTCATCAGGCACACTTGTCAGGTTACATACCCATTCTAAGTCATGCAGCGTTAAATCAACAGTTCTTTTAAAACATGACCATGTCTATAGGCCTCTTATCGAATGATCAGCTATGGCCATTCCATATTGGGTGAATGCCACACATTTTGCAGGTGACGGTTCTTGGATAACTGAAAGGTGGGGGAGGTGATGTGGTAATCATTACCTCCCCGGGGAGGCTGGGTGCAGAACATTCCTCCTGACCTTGTGTCCCCATATTTCATGTTGTGGAATCTTCATGGGGGTACTTCTCAGTCATAGCGTCAGGAGTTTTGGCTCAGCAGGCACTCAGTTATCTTTATATAGACGTTTAATCTATGCTATGCTCTTCCTTTTGTTCCCCTGTATAACTTCTTACACTGATAGAATTGTTTGCAGTGCTCTAAAGCACATGGCTCATTTAATTTAATCTCTCATTAGGTCATTTTAAACCAATGATTCTCAACCAAAGGCAGTTTTGCACCCCCAGGGAACATTTGACAGTATCTGAAGGTATGTTTGATTGTTAAGAGTAGGGGACAAGGTGAGACCACTGTATTTTGTAGGTAGAGACAAGGAATGACACCAAATACCCTACAATGTACAGAACAGCCCATGGGGAGGGGAAGCTGTTTGATTACAGGTGACTGGTTCTGAGCCTAAGAAGCCCTGGTTGTTTGTTGTTATTATTGCTATTACTGCTAGTTTTCAATCACTAAGGTTTCCCTTTATGGAGTGCAAAAGTGGTTTGGTCAGATTGCTGAGGTGGAATGCAGTGCAGCATTGGATATATGAAGAATGAGACTCCATATAAAATTGTAGACATGCCTCAGCCTCAGGACTCATGTGTCAGGCATTCTCTTAGCAACAGAGGACAAGAGTGGCTGTTTTGACAAAGGCTCATAGCAGGCCTCTCTGATGTCACAGGACTCCTTCTTCTTTGTCTAGGCAAAGGGTAAGGTCCTATGTGCCAACACTGTCGCCACCAGTAGCAGCGTCATGAGCCCTTTCACACCATGCTGACTCCCTCCCTCTTTGCCCTCTAGTGTTAAACTCACAAACATCTCTCCGACGATGGGAAACAAAAGTGAGCATCGGTGAAGTTCTAAGATTGAGTCATTCTGTATTCAGGTACAGAGTCTTCTTTGCCTGGCCATTGCCTTGTGTGCCCTCTGCCAAAGTAGCTTTTCACAGGAGCCGTTTTCCAGGGCCACCAATTCCCATGAACTTTCTTCCTGTGCTCCCCTTTTCCTGATCCTCAAAGCCCTGCCTCATCACATTTGAGAGGCCCCGGCCTTGAGCAAGCCAAACAGTCCCGGCTTCGCCTGTGCTGATCTGTCAGTTATAAGTATTATTATGTACCTCTGCCACCCAGGATAAAATAAGCTAGTGAGGAGTTAATCATTTTTCCCTGACTCACGTTGCACATTGATGACATTGCTGGAAACTGGCCATCGGGTTCTGAATCATAATCAGAATGGAGAGTGAGGTTTAGGCTGCCATGAGGGTAAAGCAGAAGCGTCATGTGATGCTGAGGGTCAGGAGTGTGGAGTATCTACTTCCTTTGGCCTCTCGAAGACATGTAAATCTTAAGTTTAGTTTTTACTCGGTGCCACAAACATAACATAAGGAATGATAATGAGAGACTGGACTTGAAGGGCTGGCGAGATGGCTTAGTGGATAAAGGGCTTGCACAAGCATAGGAACATGACTTTGGATCCTCAGCACTCCTGCCATAAGGCAAGCATGGTAGTACAAGCCTGTAACACTGCTCTGTAGGCAGGGAGAGGAGGACCCCAACAGCCTCAGGCCAGAGTCAGGTCAGCTAGTCAATCCCAGGTTTTGTGGGAGATCTTGTGCCAAAACTAAGATGTAAAGTGATTAAGGACAACACCTGATGTCATGACATATTAATGTAATATTAGCCTTCATATTTGTGTGCATGGGCACTTACACACACACACACACACACACACACACACACACACACACGATATATATACCCTATATAAACATACATATTTATACACACAAAATAATTCAATTTATTCTTACAGTTTATGAGAGAACAGATTCTAAGTGTGACAAAAGCTGTGCCAGCATAAAATTGTTTGAATCGTTCACTAGACACAAATTAGCTTGTGCTTTCGATACCTATACTTGTATGTGTAAATGAAGGTGACTATAATCCAGAAGCCTCTTTGAGAAACAGGGCATAGGACCTATAAGGACAGCCTTCATTGCCTGATCCATGTGTAAGGAAAACAGGATGCTGTCTCTGAACAAACTGGTAGCAAGATTTATGTTTTAGAATATTGCAACATGACTTCCTTCCCCCGGGGCCTTTGTGCATTGTTTGGCGGGGAATAAAGGAGTGCTTTTACCACACAGGTTTGTACAAAGTTGGGTGGCGCAGGGTTCATTTAAATAGCACCGGGCCTTTCTGGGTCACTGTGAGCCACCTTGTCTGTGCTTTATTTTAACACTTGTGTTGATGCTTCCATGAGATGAGTGAATGGACATCTTTCACTCATTGGCCTGGTGCTTCTGGGTGCAGCTACTTGGGATGGCTCAGAACACTGGTATGTGGAAGTGCAGTTGTCTGGAGGTTGTCTGGAGGTCATGTCTTACAGTGCACATGGAGGATAGCCTGTGCTAATGGAAGACGACTCAACAGTTTCACCCAGCACTCAGGTTTGCTAATGACTGCAGCTCACGGTGAGGTTTGGGGTTCTGAGCTTGTATGGATGAAGGGTGAGTTGTTGTCTGTGTGGAAGCTGTTCTCCTGTGTGCTGCCTAAGGAGTGGGTGATGGAGGCTCTCAAAACACTGCATCATCTTTGTAGGAGTGTGGGTGGCTTTGCCATTTTTTCCCGTGGCTTCTGTGTATGTGTGTGGTTAGAATATTGAAGATATTCTAACATTTTAAATAATGGGTATATATTATATACATTTTTTAACAAAGATAAAAATAACCAGTCTTGACAAATTCAGCAGACCCCTAATATTACAAAAGAATCTGCTGGTTGTCTTCACTGAAGGTTTCCAAGCTTAAAAGTGGGAGCAAGGTTAGCACCTACAGAACTCTGAAGGAAATCTGTCTTTATTTTTTAAGGAAATTTAAATTTAGTTTGGGAGGCCAAATGCAGAAATGTAAAACAATTAGCCAACAATACAAGGCTATATGTGCATATATGTATGCAAATATATGCATACTTTTATATGTAAACAAATGGAAAAGAATGTGGGCTGTACCTCCATGCATATGTGTATGTTATAGGAT